CATTAAGAAAACAGGATAAAGATAGACTGTCGGTGTTTGAACACCGCTGTCTCCGCAGCATTGCACGAATCTGGTGGGGCAACCGAATGAGCAATGCTGATGTTAGGGACAGAGTTTTGGGTAAATACGGTCGCCCACTGGAGCAAGTGATCGACCTCCATAGATTACGTTAGCTGGGACATGTGCTACGCATGTCACCAGATAGGTTACCACGGCGAGCGATGTTCGCCGAAGAAGATACAGAGTGGAAAAAAGCCAAGGGTGGTCAAGTTAAGACCTGGCACGAGGGCATGAAAACCCTAACCAGGAAACTGGGTCACATAGGTCCTGTTAGGCTCCCTGGCTGGGGACCTCGGGATGATCGTAACCGATGGTTAGAGACACTGAGCGATAAGGGTGTGTCGTAAACAGTGGCGTTCGTGCATCTTCTCAATTTCTTTGCAACCTTAGTCCACTGAACTTCTCCATTTTCCTTTCGAATCCACTTTCAACTTTCCTTTCTTCTCCTATTGTTCATCCCAATGGGTAGCCGAAAGACAGCAACCAGAACCGGCGCACGAAAGTGCATGGTTAACGATTGTTCAAACTGAAACTGAAACTCTTAACTTAAAGTAACAGTCACCATCCGTTTGGCTGCCACCACTAGTGAACCTGTCCGAGGCGAAACGCAACGGTTGTGGAAAAATAGTGCAACAGAAAATTCGTCAAACAAATGGAACGGGTGGGCCACCACTCAGCAACAGAGGACAATCCGGTGCTCCAAATCCCAGCGCTCCATTGTTGATTAGTTTACTTTTGTAATCTCATTGCACTTTCATGGCGATTAAATCAAACAATAAACCAATAAAAAGTTTTTATCAACTCCTCCAATTACAACAGCTTTATTTATGAACCGCAAAGCAAAGCTTCTGCACCTTTTGCGATGACTACTATAATTCAAATTAACACTTGGTAAACAACAGTTAGAACATCGACAGAATAAAACCAAATCCATTGGTGCTGGATCTTTTCAACTCTAAACAATGGTGTACTATCAGCAATTGTATATATTAGTATGTATACTATATATATAGTATATACATAGCATTGATTCATAAATGGACTAGTTCTGAAAGATCTGTCCACAAAATTTACTCGCTGTTGCAAATGAGGTTATTGGGACGAAACTACATTTCCGGACTCCAGTATATGAATGAGGCGACAAAAGATTACTGGATACCCATGCCTGACGAGCAGCAAGAACCGTAAAACCGGTTGTGTGCTCCCAGAGAACTTTGTCCAGTCATTCACATACTACTTATTGTAATATATATAAATAAGTCTGATACCAGACCGTGTCGTCTAACATGTTGAGTTCAGGAGAAAATCTCCATTCCTGTAGATCCTGACTAAATGTTCACACACCAAAGATCAGGAGTAGTTCATCTAAAAGTGAGCTAATGAAGTGTTTCTTCTAGTAAATCCAATGTGTCTGAACTACAATGATCGAGATTGTACATTTTCACTACACATCATGCTTTTTGGCTTGCTTGCATAATCATTTGCTCATTACCTCCTATCTAGTNGTGTGCCATTGTTTTAAACGAAATAAACGGAAATAGATCGTAGAGAAATTGAACCAACTAATGTTACGCAACACTACGTCAGCTGGGTTCTGAAACCGTAGGAGAATTACAATTAACTTGAACAAGTAAATTGAGCACATAGATTTCAAAGAAGGTGCAGCTCGATTTCTTATTGCTGAGGAAGAATCAATTACAACGTGCAGAAGGAAGCTCTACGGTACCGACTTACGAACCTTTCAGTGTGAACACATTGAAGAGGGCCATTTTTGTGTCCGCCGGGAGTTCTTGTGGTGACTGGAGAAATTTCGGAATCAGTTCACGCGTTTGGTTTCGAATCCATCGATTAATTGCATCCATCGACGCTGACTGGTCTTTGAAATTCAACTGGGAAGGTGAAATAAAACACAATGCAGTATTGTGAAATGGAGCATTTTGAATACCGTGTTTGTCATTTGACCCAAAAAATAAGTTAGAACAGCCATTGGTGTAGTGCTTTTGCATTCGAATCGTCAAACATTATGCTCATATCATCCAAGTAACGATACGTAAAATTGCCGATATAAGATAGTGCTGTTTATGTTCTGCGTATATTTGTAGATATCGATGGATTTTTGTCACTGTTTCCATACTCTGCCTGCATCTGGCCTTCGAAAAATAGAATTCTAGAATCATCATTCGGAGAAGCCCATATCACTCATAGTGTCGAATCGATATTCTGATGACATAGGTTAAGATTGATGAAACTCAAGTGTAGAGGGTTGTACAGCATGTGATGTTTTTCACACCATGCAAAACAGGCGATCGACTCAAACATCATTCGACTGCTGTAAACTACGAGGTCCTAGTTCACAGCTTCAAACCTGTAGGCTTTGGAAAATGAAAACATANCATAGGTTTCCGGAAGACAGATGGTAGAAAATGAATATTTGGGGATATCTAGTTATCTATCGACGAATAAACCAAGGCAAGCGTTATAAGCTCATTGCATCAGATTTCGCAAAATGCAGCCCCGAGGGCTTCAAAAGGAGACAATTGTTTTGTTGCTTCTGTAATCCCCCTGATATTCAGTTAGCAATTTGTGTTCCACGGTCTAATCCATTATCCATGATCACTNCACACGTCACGTTCTCCACCCCAACAACATGAGATCAATACGAACACATGTCCGTTTACATTCCGAATTTTTTAAACAAAATTTAATGTTCAAAACGAAATTTTGCAAATCAACAACAATGCAATACAAAATCTCGTGGAATATAAAGATAGCCATCTGTAATAAAAATAAATAATCCTTGTGAACTTCTGCCATATTTCGTGTAACTTCAGAGTGACTTTTGTCGAACGAGTTCATTTCAGTTCCTAGGATAGATTAGTCTATCTATTCAAAATGTGAAAAGACTAGAAACTTAACAGTTGATCACACTTTCAAACATCCCGGTATAATTGAATTTTATTAAAAATATATAAAGGCAATAGAATTCACAGGAAAAACTGACCTTATCGATTTTGGCTTTGAAGTCATTCTGTAAGCTCCATTTAAAATCTTCTTTGATCTTATAATCCTCTTTCAGAAACACTCCATTACTGATCGAAATCACCGGAACACGCCGAGCATTCAGTGCACTTTCCGCGCTAACCAACGAATTCACCAAATTCCAATACATATTCTTTGCACCCTCGCGCAATGAACTCATGTCAGTGCTGGGCAACGTTTTGGTCAATTTCAGAGCATCCCCGATTTGGAGAGCCGTCTTGCCGCGGGCCCCTCCCGATCCAAGAAATGTGGTGAGAAGGAGTAGCACACCGATCGGACATGACAGATAGTCACCATCTCCTGTGAAGTTTAACGGGGATCTGGTTCGAAATCAAGTTGGCACAAACATAAACGGGCCAAAAGAACTTCAGATCCCGTTCGGAAATGTATCACCTAATAAAAGCTTCGTTTTATATTACATGTAACTCTAAAAACATGTCTAATCTTGTGATTTTGATCCATCATCTGGAGAAATACATTGAGCAACATGAAACAGAAACGAAATTCCACATCATTAGTTCTTAGCAGTTATCAAATCAGATAAAAATTTTAAAAATAGATCATTCCCTAACTGTTGTCCCAGTTGTACAAGAGGCAGAAGTTACCTTGTCCACGAACCGTGGTACTCAAAAAGTTTTGAGTGAATCGGACAGGTGGATGTCGATTTGCATACAGTGCATCAATATCCGGGACTTTTTGCTTGCACATCACTGGAGTCCTCGTTGAAATGCTGTTTAGCTGTTCGCGAACGAACTGTTTTATACAATAACTTCACATAGTGAACAGATGGACCAATCAAACAACAGAGGACAGTTTGATTACGAATGTGTGAAGTGACCATGAAGTCATGTGACCGCTGACCTATATGAATTGCAAGGAATAATGTTGATAGGTAAGTGATCTGAAATGTACTTATGTTTGTGCTGAAGTGAATTACATTGACGAAAAAGTGGGTTCGTTTTGCGTTGATGATTTTCACAGTTTTCCGACAGGGGAATCCGAAACGATTTAATCAACGAAGGATTGTAGGGACGGAGGTTGCAGCAAACCACTATCAGGAATACACTTATTCTGACACACCGCAACCTTACAAGCAATGTGAAAACTTTTTCCGAATCTTGAATAATATAAATTGTAAAACAGGTTAATCACAGTTTTTTAATCAGCAGTCCACTATAACCCGTAAAACATACTGCAGTTCAGTTCAGTTCAATTCGAGGATTTCACGGCAAGGTACCGGATTGTTCAGATTCTTACATTGGGGAGAGGCTTAGAGTTCCGGAACCCCAAAAGAGAAAGCTGGGAACTTTGCTCAATAGTTCAGGTTAAACCTTCTATTTTATCCTTTTATATGGCGTTTCAGATCATCTATTTCGACCATGGATACAACTTTTCCCTTAATCTCCCTGCCTCTCGTCACGTACTCGATCACTGAAAACAGAATTCCAGGTCATATCTAACAAAGATGCTGTTGTACAGTGGCGATTACTGGTTGGCTTTCCTTGAGCTAATCGGTCACCTTAGTTACCGTGACATATTTGGAGTCAGTTCTGGGCTTCAGTTGTCTGTGTGAATGGTCTTTGGTTATCTAGCGGACTCATCTAACAAATGACTCCTGATTCTTTCCTGCTGATTACTTTCTAGCATTTTCTCAGGTTGAACGAGAGCTTCAACGCATCTGGCCAGCGTTAGACCTTGTTCATCTACTACTGCTACATATCACCTTAAAGTTCTTCGAAAAACTAAATCAGGAATATCCCAAACCATCTGCCAGGTAGACAAAGTGTGTGACAAACAGCAGAGGTTCTAGGACCGATCCCTTTGGAATCTTGCTCCCTGCTCCAGTTCACACCATCGTGGCTCTAAAATTGACCATTGAATTGACCTCGAAAGCTTGAAAATGTTACTCTTCTCTCCGGAGATCGATGACAGGTCTCCATCTGAAATTCACTAGAGCGCGTTTTTATTCAATCTCTGGGTAACAAATGGAAGTTCGAATTCATGATCTAAAATAGGAGTCCAATACCATATTGAAGCCTCCAAGGCATTCCATTTTTCTCAATATTTTCCACTTGATTGTGGGATTTGAACAATGCAGTTTAACTACCACACCTGAGTTGAATGGATTTCCTATCCGATAGATATCGCATTAACCACAAAGAGAAAGAGTTGTACCATTGTGGAACATAGGTGTTCTTTCTAAAATTTAGTTCTAATTGGCTTAACGAAATGCATTCAACGGAACGCGAATATGCAGCACTCAAGTGACATCAAATCTTTGGAATGAGCTGTGGTCGCATCGCAGTTGTGCACACAGGACAGCCAAGGAGTTTATATATCTACTAGAACGACCTACCGGTCTTTATAGTAGTTGAAGAATCATTGTATCTTCGCGATCCACAGGAAACTGATAGTGTAATACGATTCGGTTTCACACCGTTCACAGACGTGTCGGAAATATCAGGGTTTTGTGCGGAATTCTATAGAAACAGAAATTTGCAAATTGTTTCTATGGATTTGCACCAATTTCTTTCTTTATTTTTCCATATACGGGAGATCAGTCATACAGTTTTTGGTCCACTTGTGGTAGTAGAATATTGGTTGGATCAACGTAATGATAGATGATAGTGTTTATCCTCCTTGGCACGAGTATCACATTAGTTTTTCTGTTTACTGTCAGGCACTGAATTGAGAAGTGTGATGGCCGAGTGGTACTAACACTTTATACCTAAAATGCTCTGTTACCAGTAGTCAATAAATGATTAGTATGACTCAAACGGATGAACTTCACTGATCTTGCGCATGTCACAGAAAGAAAATTTCGTGATGTGTTATGTTTCTTCACTGGAAAAATAAAGGACTACAGTACTGGTCGATTGTGGTGTACTGAAATATTTTCTCTATGATCAATTGGAGTTTCATCATATTTATTCCTTGTTTTAATGCTTTATGTGTGGACAATAATTTATATCTTGTCTACTGGGATCTAAGCAGTTTCTAGGCTGCATAATTGTCAATTAAACGTGCGTGACCTTGGTTGCTAAGATTAAATGATCTGAACATGAAAAACGCAAACTTTATCAAGCATGAAAACGCAATATATTCTAATAGGATTAAATAAAGAATTATCCCAAATTATTTCCATAAACCCTTGCGACTTCGGGTGTTTGCTATGAGGCATTTTTTTATCCGACATATAATCCATTATAGCAACTCTATTGAATGACCAAATAGAAATGTTACACAACCCGGGGAAGTTACAATAAATGAGGTTTCTTAACAATAATCTATGTTTGATATCTAACTCACTGAATTCGAGAAATACTACTTCAATCAAAGTCAACCTTGAAGTCAAGGTCATTTTTGTGCACAGCTTTGTATCAGTAATTACGACAATGTTCCAGAATTTCATGAAAAATAATCGTCTGGAAAAGTTATCGTTTTTCAGGATAACGCCCTCTGTCATGTTTCACGAGAGGTTAGTAAATTGATTTAGTTAAGGAGTCTGGTTAACTTATTATTTGCTTTTAGACTTCAGAAAAGATGCGTGACTCCAAGGTTCAGTTCATGCAACTCCCTCCTAGTAGCCCGGATCTCAACGTGATTGAAAATCTGTTTTCCGTTTTGAAAAGAGAGGTCTATGGGCTACCTGCACACTGGACACTGGAGGCAAAAGTGCGATACGTAATGGAGCACAAAATAGAAAATGACTTCATAACAAATTTGGTGGATTCCATGCCGAAGAGACTCGAAAAAGTCCTAAAGAACAAGGGCAGACCAATCGACTATTAGTGTACATAAATTTTACATCCTAGTTATTATCAATGTTGATTTCCTAAAGAACAAGGGCAGACCAATCGACTATTAGTGTACATAAATTTTACATCCTAGTTATTATCAATGTTGATTTGTTGTAAATAAAATCTTTTCTATCCCTTTAAATTACCTTCTAACTCGTCATGCTGTAGGTCAACCACTACTGATGAAATGGGAGTATCCTGTACATTGTGAGTTATTCCATCTCCTGAGTATAAGCGAATCAGGAAAATCAATGCTATAAAGACTCACCAAGGCTTGTTTGTTATTATTTGGAAAAAAATCTAGTCTAGTACACATACTGTTGCCTATACGAACACACACGTGTTTCACAGGGACCTGTTGCTTCAGTTTCGATTAGACCTGTATATGTATGTATGTATGTATTAAAAAGGTGATAAAATGGCAAACATATCTGCGAAATATAGTCAGAGCTTCGAAGGAGATGACTCAACCGTGATAATTTCACAACAACCCTCCCTCATCCACATATCTACGGACAAATAAACACCCAGCGTACCATGCCCGTATTGCTAAATCATAGAGCACATCTCTTACAGCTTCATTGTTTCCGTATAACATGTGATACTCCTGTGAGCGACAAATGTCAAATATCACACAAACGGTAACTTGTTTTGCATTCTTGGGTTGTGTTGTGTTCGGTTTTGTCAGTGGTGGGTGACGCGCCTATATGTGTAAGTTCGAGGGGTCAACTTGGAGAATGGCCTTTGATCATGTGATTCGGCCAATCGGTGTCTAATCCAATATGGGATGTGTTCCTGGATCCTTGTGTGCAACTGCCTGTCTATTCTGCCAATGCAAAATGTTCTGCATACGCATTCAAACTGGTAAATTGCATGTGATTTGGTGGAAAGTAGCAAGTCTTGTTTTATGGATGGAGTGGGGATTCACGTTGTTGTGTACAAGATGATTGAGTTGACAGTCTTATAAGTGAGTTTTAACACCTTTTGTCAATCGATCTTGGAAGATAAGCCCGATAGCATTTTTATGAAAAGTGTACTATGTTGTTTGTTACAATTAACAGTACTTGATTCTGGTCCATTATCGAATCTGGAATTTGTTCAATCTCATCAATATTCACCCTCCGGAACATGCAATACTGTGAGCATCCTGTCGAGAATCAAATGGAATCATGCTCGACGGAGGAAGAGCGTATCAATCGCCCAAATAGTTTCATGCGAGACACAATGATGTGAACCATATCAATCATACAATCTTCCTCCAGGTGAATCCTCCCCTCTCTGATTGTGAATCCATTATTGATGTTTGCCATAACCGGAAGGCCTATAGGGAACTAAGCGTTGTCTCTAGCAGGCACACAAGGTTGGATCGCTCTCGTTCCGATACCATCAGAGAACTTTTACTGGAGGAAATATAGTTGGAGTTACGTGAATTAGAATTAAGGAAGAAGATTTTGGCAATCAGAAGAGGATTGGCTCTCGAGAGGTTGGCGGTCAAAGAAACTATGAAGCCGGATATTGTAACTGATGATTCAAAACACTCCACTTTTATTCCACCGGTTGAGTTAAGTTCGATCACGAACTCAGTGACCGTGGTCGGTAACTATGACATAACCCATGTCACGCAGTCGGATATGTTGGGCGAGGCTATTCACTGTTCACCTTACTCTCCACGATTGAATCTTGCTAGTACGATAACTGAAAAGTTGTCGGCAATGGATCCTGTCGGTCTAGGTCCGCTCCAGGCTCACGATATTGCTGGGGATGCTGATCCCAACAAGCCTGATAGCCAATGGACGCTACACGACATGGTAGAACCTGCAAAAACAGCATCCGAGTGGCCGTTGATCCTGTTACATTAACTGCAAAGGTTCTATCCACGATACCACTTAATGAAAGAGTCCCCCCGTTGAAATGCGCTACCATCCTACATGTGGAGCTGCAAGCACCGATGTTATTCATGAGATTGAGGAGACATAAAACGAAGAGAATGAGGATCGATCAAGGCATAAGCCACCGTTGGACTGCTTCTACCTTGATTCCACATTATGTGGGAAAGACAGAAAAACCGTTCAAGAAAAGATGGCAAACGATCGGAATCCGCAGAGCAAAGAAAAGAAAGAAAAAAGGAAATCTCGGAACGAATAGCCAAGCGAGACATCACACCTATGGTAAATGGGGTGGTTCAACTTGTCGATCAAGAACATGGGGAGTTATTTAGACGAACACCCGTAATGCTGCCTGCTAGAGGGAGCTGGGGCGCATTAGAGACCCCACTGCTGTAGGCGCACTCGTGTTACCTGTCGGAGCGGTTGTGGCAAGAGTGAATTGTACCATTTACGTTTTCGATAGTCTCGCTGTGTAGCGTGTAGGGGTGGGCAGTAAGGAAAGCCATCTTGGCTTTGATGCGGGAGTGTTGATTCTTCTCCTCAGAATCATTTTGTGTTCTTTCGACTCATTGCCCACTCTATCGCTTCCTATTTGTCCCGTTGACATTCGTTTCGTTCTGGTTATCGAATTCTTACATAATCAAGCGAGTACATAGTTCTCCCAGTCTCTGACACCTC